TCCCCTCATCATCACAGCAGCCCCATGAGGTCTGGGATGTGATTCCTGCTTTCACAGAAACGGAAACCAAAGCCCCACCAAGGGGAACTAAAGTGCCCTCAGTCCCAGAGCTAAGGGGCATTGTGAGGGCAGAGCTACAGACAAGATGGCTGCATCAGTTTTTCCATCTGTAAAATGGACACATTGGGAGGGCCCTTCCCAATCAGGCACTCGGCTCTCTGCTGCCCACCCCCGGCCCCCAGATCCTAGCCCCAGACGGGCCACCCGTTGCAAGGTCACGTCTGTGCCTTGACATTTTCCATAAGTCCCCTGTCCTAACACCCCTACCTCACCCATCCCACTGCAGGGGAGTCTGGCCCTGCCCTTCCTGGGATCCCTCATGCCAGACACTGCTCATCTGTCATTAGTCACCCAGTTGGTAGAAAAGTTGAGGCCTTCAAATGCCCTATCATGGTCCCACCCACTACTGCCCTGCCTTCCCCCGTCCTCCCAACTCAGCCATCCAGGGCCATCTCTGACCTGGGGATCCCTTGTCCTTGGGGTATGGCAGAGCCCAGCCAGGGCTTGGGAGCCCAGCTGTGCTGTGTGACCTTGGGCGGTTTATCCAACCTCTCTGGACCTTATTCTTTTCTTCCTTTCCTTCCTTCTTTCCGTTCTTCCTTCAGCTCTCTCTGACTCATCCCTCCCTCTCTCATGCCACAAATATTTATTGAACCTACACCAGACACCATGGCTCTGGAGCACGGACCACTGGCCTCGGAGGCCTTGCTTGCCAAAAGCTGTAGGACTGAACATGACCCAGGTTCCTGAGACCCCACCCCTGGGGGGCCAGCTGGGATAGGACTGCCCTCTGAGCCATGGGAAAGCCAGCACAGGCTTTTGAATCAAGCCTGGGTTCCAAGCCCCCACTTCCTGACAGTGTGACCCTGGGCAAATCACTTCACTGCTCTGAGCCCCAGTGCCCTTATTTAACAAATGACAAAAGCCATATTGTGAGATTTAAATGCCACATCTGGATGGTAAGGAGTTATTCAAAAGTTCTAAAACTTCACCTTTGTCTCTACCTTGAGGCTTGGAGATCCTTATGGAGGCAAAGGACTGGTCTCTCTAATGGTTTAGGCATTAGACCCTGGGTACAAGACTTATCTGGGATGTAGGGTGTTCTGAGCATCTCTACCCTGAACATTCTACATTGTCTGCAACCTGCTTTACTCACACATAAAGACTGTCCCTTTTATGGGGGAGTGGAGTCCTGATTCTCGATGGCATCATTATTAAGAAGTTTTGGGTAACATTTATTGAGCACTTACTACTGTGCCGGGTACTGAACAGACATTATCTCTAATCCCCAGAGGTGGGGGTCCTTTTTTTTTTTTAGCATACTTATTTTCTCTTTTATCTCTGTCTATATTTTTTCTACCAACTTGCCAGAATTTCTTTGTTTTAGAGTAGTTCCATTTTTACAAAAGCTTGATTCTAAGTGTAAAATGGGCTACTCTTTTCTTCTGAAAAATCGGTCTTTAAGGACCTCAGCGATGCATAAAAACATTTCCCCCACTTAACAATTTTCTCAACTTCCAGGGAATACTGAAACCCCTTTTAGTCACTGCTGCCCACCCTCCCAAGCATGGCCCCCAAACCCCTCCCACCACTGTCAGCAATTTGGAGTGGATTCTTTCAACCCTTCTGTGGACTTACATTGACATACTTTACATATATTTCCTTATTTGTTCTCATAGAAAGCGAAAAGTCATGTGTTATGTGAGGAAGTCATCCCCCACATAATAGCCTGCCATTTCCTTTCTTTGCTCAACATTACGACTTGGAGTTGGTTAACCATGGCTGTGTACAGAGGACTACCTCTTCCTTTTTTCAACTGTTGCCATTCCCCCTTGCTGGGCATTTTGGTTGTGACCAATTTTTGCCATAACAAATAATACCGTAAAGACCCTCCCTGTCCATTTCCCTTGGGCACACATATGCAAGTGTTTCTGTTAGGTTCTTTTTTTTTTTTTTT